AAGAACCTGTGTTTGTACATTTTTATTGGGGTAGAGTTCTCCGACCCCTTGCTCTAACACGGGCACTAACTAGTTTAGCCCAAGGGGTGGCGTTGTCAGTTGTACAATCGGGTGCCACTCTGCAACATGACATCATGACTTTGCGTAAACATACACGCCACTTTCAAGTCAAGTGGCGTGTCATCTATACGCATTTTGAGCTATCAGCGTGTATGTCCACGCCGAAATGAACCGTCATCTTTTGCGTGTATGTCTACGCCATTAAATGTCCGAGTGATTCCGCGTGTACAGGTCCTTCTCAAAAAATTAGCATATTGTGATAAAGTTCATTATTTTCCATAATGTAATGATAAAAATTTAACTTTCATATATTTTAGATTCATTGCACACCAACTGAAATATTTCAGGTCTTTTATTGTTTTAATACTGATGATTTTGGCATACAGCTTGTGATGGCTACGGCCACACAGGGTAATATCACCTCAGTTCCAAACATTTGAATACTGTTATTTTATCTTATCTCTTTAGTTTGTTGTACTGATTATTATTTATAGTCAGCTAAAACTATGATATTTAAATAACAAACACAATGCAGTTTTTTGATTTGGTTTATTTTGCTTTACCTTTATATAGATTTACAGGTAGTGCACTAATCACATGTTTCTTTGTGTTGAGTTACCTGGACCTGTTGGGGGGCGGTCCCTTCCTGGTTGGGCGAAAGGAGTGGCTAAGGGCTGAGGAGACCTATATCCGGGAGTCAGCTCATTAGGCCATACCATGTGTATGGCTCATTAGGCCATACCATGTTAGCTCTTGAGTTCTCAACAGTTAGTTGTTTACCCCTTCTATGTTATTTGGTTTTTTCAAGCTGTTATATAAGCTCCTTTCTGTGTCTGTGTGAAAAAGTCAGTTTTTTAGTTCAGTTAACTTTGTGTTACAGGTCTATGTATTAACTTATATTTAGTTACTTTTTTTTTGCTGACCTCTTTAAGGCCTAGTTATTAAATTTGGTCTTTATGTAATTTTTCAACATTTTGGGTAATAAACCCCTTTTTTGAAACAGTCTCTGTGTCCTCTTGCCTCACGGCTTTGGTCCCTGACACAGCTCATGAAAACCCAAAATTCCTGTCTCAAAAAATTAGCATATCATGAAAAGGGTCTCTAAACGAGCTATTAACCTAATCATCTGAATCAACTAATTAACTCTAAACACCTGCAAAAGATTCCTGAGGCTTTTAAAAACTCCCAGCCTGTTTCATTACTCAAAACCGTAATCATAGGTAAGAATGCCGACCTGACTGCTGTCCAGAAGGCCATCATTGACACCCTCAAGCACGAGGGTAAGACAGAAAGAAATTTCTGAACAAATAGGCTGTTCCCAGAGTGCTGTATCAAGGCACCTCAGTGGGAAGGAAAAAGTGTGGCAAAAAACGCTGCACAACGAGAAGAGGTGACCGGACCCTTAGGAAGATTGTGGAGAAGGACCGATTCCAGACCTTGGGGGACCTGCGGAAGCAGTGGACTGAGTCTGAAGTAGAAACATCCAGAGCCACCGTGCACAGGCGTGTGCAGGAAATGGGCTACAGGTGCCGCATTCCCCAGGTCAAGCCACTTTTGAACCAGAAACAGCGCAGAAGTGCCAGAGTCTGGAGGAAGACTGGGGAGAAGGAAATGCCAAAAGTCCAGTGTCAAGTACCCACAGTCAGTGATGGTCTGGGGTGCCATGTCAGCTGCTGGTGTTGGTGCACTGTGTTTTATCAAGGGCAGGGTCAATGCAGCTAGCTATCAGGAGATTTTAGAGCACTTCATGCTTCCATCTGCTGAAAATCTTTATGGAGATGAAGATTTCATTTTTCAGCACGACCTGGCACCTGCTCACAGTGCCAAAACCACTGGTAAATGGTTTACTGACCATGGTATTACTGTGCTCAATTGGCCTGCCAGCTCTCCTGACCTGAACCCCATAGAGAATCTGTGGGATATTGTGAAGAGAGGTTGAGAGACGCAAGACCCAACACTCTGGATGAGCTTAAGGCTGCTATCGAAGCATCCTGGGCCTCCATAACACCTCAGCAGTGCCACAGGCTGATTGCCTCCATGCCACGCTGCATTGAAGCAGTCATTTCTGAAAAAGGATTCCCGACCAAGTATTGACTATTGAGTGCATAACTGAACATAATTATTTGAAGGTTGACTTTTTTTTTTTTGTATTAAAAACACTTCTTTTATTGGTCGGATGAAATATGGTAATTTTTTGAGACCGGAATTTTGGGTTTTCATGAGCTGTATGCCAAAATCATCAGTATTAAAACAATAAAAGACCTGAAATATTTCAGTTGGTGTGCAATGAATCTAAAATATATGAAAGTTAAATTTCTATCATTACATTATGGAAAATAATGAACTTTATCACAATATGCTAATTTTTTGAGAAGGACCATGTGTACGCCGTTAAATGTACGAGCGAAACGAAGAAAAATGTATATTTACATCTGTGGAGCAATATTTTTTTTCCTAGGATGGTAGGGGAAGACTCATAAATGGTATTAACTCCAGTGACGGGTAGGTTTAGGGTTGGGGTTGGGGTAGGTCATATATACAGTAATGTAACGTTAAGTCAAGGCGTTGATAAACACGCTGAAAAGCGATTATGCGTGTTGATGGCACGCCGAAAATGGAAATACGAATTGGCGTGTCATACGCGATTTCATGAGATCAGTCTGCACACTAGTTGTTAATCACAGTATATTTTCACAGTATTTTTGTCGTGTCCTGCTCCCTGCCTTGCCCGGTTTTGCTCTGCCCTGCTATAGTGTTTGGATTCAGAGTGTTCCTCCACGGGGTAGTTTTTGTTTTATTTTTTTATAACAAATAAAAGCCCATTGTTCTGCACCTTGAGTCCTCACCTCATCCTTCTTCACCCCATATCCGGACAGGCATGGATTATAGACTTATACACAACGTATTTGTGTTTTCAATCTGTCTAATTTCCTCTCATTTCTTATGAACATGAAAATATTAACTGACGAAAATATGAAGAATATTGGAATTATTAAGCTAGCTATTTTTGTATATTATATAACCATAATTTGAACAAACAAGAGCTATGGATGTAAGCACTATATATTTGACATTAATAATTTGAGATATTTTTTTAATTAAAGATATTCTAAATTGATTGTGTTCCTTGTTTTCAACTTCAACAGTGAATCTTGGGTCCACATAAGACCGCTGAGCTTATTTTCCACTACCTTAGGTGAGTACAAAAAAATTCAGGTTTTGATCTTACTGGCGATACCAGTGGAGTAACTCCTATAACTCCAGAGAAGGAAAAAACTATAGGATAATGTAATATCTGAACCCTCGTCCTGCAACATCTGTTTTGTCCGGTTTGATAACATTTCCAAACGTTATGAAAAACTATTATTTCCAAACTGAAAATGAAAAAGTTATTTTGTAACTTTTTAGTAAAACGGTTTTAGTAAAATTGTATACATAAATAAAATAATCAACCAAATAAATACACATTCTAGCTGAAGCACAGAACAGAATAAGTGGATGAAGATACATTTTTCAAGTGTTCACTGTGAGAAGAGTCAGACTGAATCGTTTCATCCACAGACTCTTTCAGACATGATGAGATCATGTCAGATCTTTGAACTCTGAGTCCCTCCTCTCTGAGCAACATTATAACTGATTATCAGGCGTCGAGAAGGGAAGAAATGTCTATTCAACGGTTGCTACAGCTGTACGATTATACCAAACAAATAAACAAAAATTAATCTGAGCCTTATTTAAGAAAATGATTATCCTTATGAGAATAAAAGAACATTTTAGAGGTAAATTGCAAAGAGCCATTAAAGTTTTAGTAATCTGGCTCACAACTTTATTTACAATAAAGAGAACAGGAACTTGTAGAAAACCTTTGCTTAACAGAACCTTTCATCTTAAATGCTAAATACAATGTTCTTCACCAGTTATATGTCAGGACGTTGGATCCGCAGATCTTAAACAGATTCTTAAATTTGTAATCCCACATATTAATTTCATAATTTCCCCCCAGTATGACTTTAATAGCTTTTGAATTTCAGGAATGCTTATTGTAAAGAAACAATCACACACGTTTATGCCTCAGTGTTTTTGGACATCAGTTTTGTCACAGTGGGCTTCAGAGCACAGTAATACACAGCAGAGTCAGACACACACACATCCTGGATCATCAGAGGAACTGAATTTGATCAAAGTTCAGAGTAAAATCTCTCCTGGAACTGCCATTTTCTCCTTCATATTTGCTTCTCCTCAGGATGTATTTAGGAAAGTCATTTGCTCTCTGGATATACCAGAATAAATCTTCTTGTACTGAATCTCTTTTATATTTACACTGTAATGTCAAAGATCTTATTTCAGCTTCAGTCACATGTTTGTCTGGCTGATCAACTGTGTCCTCTGATCTGCACTCTGCAAAGGTTTAAAAAAAATATTTAATATACAGAACAATACAAAATGACCAACTTGCATGAATATGTAATGAAAATTCATACCAAGAATGAATAATGCGAAGAGAAATATATTCCTCAACCTGTGTGGCATGACTGTTGCACATACGTTGAAGTCGATCAGTAGTGGGAGAGTTTTACTTTTATTATTATAATAATGATGATGAACCAAGGAGGAGCTTGTGGACGCCCATGAAAGGTTATGTATGTCAAAGGTAATATTGAGTAACTGCTTCCCTCTTATGGTTAATTGTGGGTTTTGCATAGCTGAAACACTGCCATCTCATAAAGTTTAATGTAAATAAAGATATTTGTTTTCTGATACAGGATATTCTAAAGTGACTGGTGAACTAAAATAATATATTTGGATTTAATCTAATATATATTTCATACTGCCACACTTGTGGCTTTTATGTTTTGATTGTTTTTGCATTAGATTAATGACATATTTGAATACTAGCTTCCTTTTCACTATATCTGTGTTTCTCTCATTGTAACAGGTTTTTGTATAGAGCTGATGTGTTTCCTGTCACTGTGGGCACCAGAGCACAGTAATACACAGCAGAGTCTGACACTCCAGCAGAGGAGATCTCCAGATACACATGGGTTTGTTCCTTTTTTTCAACTTCAACAGTGAATCTTGGATCTACAGCAGACACCTGAGCTTCTTTTGCACTTCCAAAGGTGAGTACCAGAAATTCGGGTTTTGATCTTCCATACTGCCGATACCAGTGGAGATAATCTGAACCTCCAGAGGCAGAAAAACTACAGGATAATGTAACACTTGAGCCCTCCTGAGCAAAAACATCGGTTTTGTTTGGTTTGATGACATTTCCAAATACAGCAGCTGAAACAGAAAAGATACATTTGTAAGTTTTACTCAAACAAAAAACAAAAAAAACTTTACAAATTAACACACACACACACACACAAAAAAGTAACATACCAGCTGAAGCACAGAACAGAATAACTGAATGAAGATCCATTGTTCAAGTGTTCACTGTGAGGAGAGTCAGACTGAATCGTTTCATCCACAGTCTCTTTCAGACACGATGAGATCATGTCAGATCTGTGAACTCTTGAGTCCCTCCTTTCTGAGCAACATTACCTAAACATACCTAAATTTGACACTGAATTTTAAGAAGACAAGACAGATCTAGTCACATGAACTAATGTTACAATTATATTGTACTGGGCCCGTATTCACAAAGAATTTTAAGGTTAAAAGTAGCTCCTGGCGAATTAACTGGCGAAAGTAACTGGCGAATTTAGGAGCAACTCCTAAAAATAATGTGCGTGTCACTCCTAACTTTAGGACTCGTAATTTTTTTCACTAAGAGTAATTCACGAAGCATTTTAGCCCTAAAAGTAGCACCTAAGTCTGGGACAGCTTAAAAGAAGTCGAGAGGACTCCTAACTCACTAAGACCTATTCACAAAGGATTGTAGCGCACACCACCGCCTCTCGCAGTCGTCCGGGGTCCGCGACACAAGCGGGAATGCTGCATTGATCTGCAAAAAAATCCTCTCCTATGTCTCACTCTTAGTTTTGCTTGATATCCCAGTGCCGAATTTCCCTTTTATTATTTTTTTTTTTCAGCACCAACTGGGCCAGCAGCAGTAACTGATCCTGCGTCCAGTTGGGCTTTCTTTTCCGTTTTGGCGAGTTCATAATCCACCGTCATTCAACTATTACATTACTTCAATAGGAGCAACATTTCCTTGCTTTAAGTAGTCTATTTAGGCTAATAGGATGTCAATTAACCAAGCAAGTGTTAATGCAAGTGTCGTTTTTCATTATTAGGCAAGTGGCGGTTTTCATTAGGGTATTAGGCTACCTTGATTTAATTTAATTGAATTCACGACTTTTCTTTCTCTCTCTGCCTTTTTAGAATTACACTTCACTGGGGCCTGCACAAACATGTCATTATGCATTTCGATGACATTACTATTATTATTTTGTGTAGGACACAGACATATTTAGATGTCATAATTCCATGATTTGTTGCGTCTGTGTTATGTTTCGAATGATGGCCCTGTCATCTAACAACCAATCACCGTGATCTTTGCGATGAAGCTCGTGCATGAGAATTGACGTCATCCATAGCAACGAAGACTCACTCTTAGTTTAGGAGTTGTCATTTTTCCTTACTAAGAGTAGGTCTGAAAGGCGTTGTGAATAACTTTTAAGAGAAAACTCCTAGCTAAAATATTTTAGTGCGATTTAGGAGTACTCCTAGTGGTAAGATAAAATTCTTTGTGAATACGGTCCCTGAACAAGTAAGGCTAAATTGATCTGTGGGGCTTATATGAATGGTTACAAAGCTATTGTAATGAAATGTTATTACATTTGAGGGGGTGTGACACTATTCATTTAAAATATTTTGACTATATGGACTCTGCTCACAACAGCGTACCATCATTTGAAACAATTTATCAGTGTTAAGCATAAAAAATATGCTAGAAAAAAATGTATATTAAAAATAATTTAATTGAAAGAAATCATGCAATTAATGTAATAATGATAGTTATCTAATGTATACACACTGTAAAAAATAAAATCGGGTAAATTTACGGTAAAAACCTGGCAGCTGTAGTTGCCAAAAAATCACAGTAAAAAATATGGTAGCAACATTTTAGGTTTTACAGACTTAAGTTAAATTTACAGTAAAAAAACATATTTCATTATCCGATATAATGATAATTTACCGATCTACTGATATACTTATATCTTTTTTGTACCATTGTAATACACTGACAACCACCAATCACAGTGATGATGAGAGTCTCATGGTGAATCAAAGCTCATCACAAGCAGCTTCTCCACAAGTTGAGAGAGTTAAAGGGGTCATATAATGCCATTTTTGTACAAGCTAGTATGATTCTTTAGGGTCTAAATTAAAAGTTTGTAACATACTTTAATTAAAAATTCTCATTAGTATGGTGAAAACACTTATTTTACTTGGTCAAAAACAGCTCTGTTTTCAGCACGCCGTTTCAGTGCATATGACTTTAAATGATAATGAGCTTTGCTCACCCTGCCTCTCTGTTCTGTGCGTACACCGTTTGTAACACAATAACCATAACGCGTTGTTCAGTATAAACGTGGGATTATGAATTATATTGAGAACATCATACATAGAAAACATGCCGTAATGTACCTGTAACGGTTATCACCTGGAGTGCCCTTGAGAGCCACCTGAGGGCACTCCACATCAGACTATCATTGTTCACTCACAACTACATTTCCCATAATTCACTGCCCGGACTCATCATCCCTGATTATCACATTTACCTGTGTCTCATTATATTGTTTAGTTCACCCCATATAAGCCTGGTTCACCTCATCATTCCCTGTGAAGTCTTGTATGTTATTCCACTGCAATTCTGAGCGTTTCCTTTGTTGTCTTTGTTCCTGGTTTTTGATCTCTGCCCGTGTCCTGGTTTTCCCGTTCCTGCCTTACCCTCTGAATTTGTTTGTATGTTTGGATTGCCTGCCTGTGTATGACCTTTGCCTTGATTCTGATTCTGATTTTGATTCACTTAAATAAACTGCATTTGGATTCTCCACCTTCGTGTCTCGGAGCAGTTTCGTAACAGAAGACTTCACCAACATGGATCCAGCAGTTTGTCTCTTCCACCTCCGCCAAGGTAACCGTTCGATTGAGGATTTTTTCGATGAGTTTTGTGAGCTTAGCCATGGGATGAACTTTAAAGATGCTGTCTTAAAGGACATTTTTCGCCATGGACTTAATGAGCTTCTTAACTACCTCATGCCTGACAATACCCCTCACTACACTCTAGCTCAATATCTTGACATTGCCATTTGGCTCGAGCCAGAGCTTCACGTCACGCCTGCCGAGCCAGAGCTTCACGTCACGCCTGCCGAGCCAGAGCTTCACGTCACGCCTGCCGAGCCAGAGCTTCACGTCACGCCTGCCGAGCCTGCGCTTCACGTCAGCCACGCCGAGCCTGCGCTTCACGTCCCGTCTGCCCAGCCAGAGACTGTTCACGTCTCGTCTGCCCAGCCAGAGACTGTTCACGTCCCGTCTGCCCAGCCAGAGACTGTTCACGTCCCGTCTGCCCAGCCAGAGACTGTTCTCGTCACGTCTGCCCAGCCAGAGACTGTTCACGTCATGTCTGACAAGATGGCCGCCGCCGAGCCAATGTCTTCGGACAAGATGGTCGCCGCCGAGCCAGTGTCTCCGGACAAGATGGCCGCCGCCGAGCCAGTGTCTTCGGACAAGATGGCCGCCGCCATGTCACCTGAGCCCTCAGCAAAGATGGCTGCCGCCACGCTGTCTGTTCCTGTTCCCAAGTCGGTGTTTATGTCTGTTCCTGAGCCGGGTTCTGTTCCTGAGCCGGGTTCTGTTCCTGTGCCGTGGCCGCCAGAGTAGTCGTCTCCGCCGTGGCCACCCGAGCAGTGTTAATTTCGTTGACGAAAATAACGACGAAAATTATTCGTCAACGACATTTTTTCACAGACGAAAACGAGACGATAACTAAATAAAACCTAGTTTTGAATGACAAAGACTATGACGAAAATCTATTGACATTTTCGTCAACGAATAAAAACTAGACGAAAATGTTAGATAGTGACGATTTGGGAAGCGATCCGTCAGAACTGATGTCCTGCGTGTGTGGTAGATGCGCACATTTGTAGGCTACTGTAACGTGATCTACCCCGCGGTCATAAAACGTTAAAAAATGTGAACGTCTGGGAGAATGAGTAGAGCAGACATATAGATCTCTGAATAAGAGTGACGATGCAAAAAAGAGCTCTATTCGGTGCGGTTTTCTGTGCGCACACACCTAACCCGAAGCGTGCAGTCATGCACAATACACCTACAGCGCGCGAGTAGGCTACTGAATTGAGCTCTCTTTCGTGTCTGAATGGAGAAATACACAACAGTATGTCTAAATGTCCTTTTTGGCAACATGACATCATGACTTTGCGTAAACATACACGCCACTTTCAATTCAAGTGGCGTGTTATCTATACGCATTTTGAGCTATCCGCGTGTATGTCCACGCCGAAATCTTTTGCGTGTATGTCTACGCCATTAAACGTCCGAGTGATTCCGCGTGTATGTGTACGCCGTTAAATGTCCGAGCGAAACGAAGCAAAATCTATATTCTACATCTGTGGAGCGATATTTCTTTTCCTAGGATGGTAGGAGAAGACTCATAAATGGTATTAACCCCAGTGACGGGTAGGTTTAGGGACGGGGTTGGGGTAGGTCATATATTTATATATACATAATACAGTAATATAACGTTAAGTCAAAGGCGTTGATAAACACGCTGAAAAGCGATTATGCGTGTTGATAGCACGCCAAAAATGGAAATACGAATTGGCGTGTCATACATACGCCATTTCATGAGATCAGTCTGTTTTTGGAGAGTATTCATGTAAACTATGCTGGTTATGTCTTAAACTGTGAGTGTGTCGGATGTGCATCAGTGCAATTGTATCCGCATGTCATTGGACATGATCCTACGTCTTAAAGTGACAGTGGCAATAAACCTAATGCGGTCCGTGTCCTTAATTTTGATCAAGCAACAAAAGAAAAAGAGAAAAGCATTCACTGTTTGTTAATAGCTTTAATAAGGATTAATTATATTTAATTCATACAAATAAATATGTCTGCTTGAAAGAATAAAGAATGATGTGTAAGTAGTTAT